CCAGGCGGGTCTCGAACCCTCAGGCTCAGGCAATCCACTCACCTTGGCCTCCCAAAGCGCGGGATTACAGGCTGAGCCACCAAGCCCGGTCAGTTTCTGTTTTCTAAAAACATTTTGGCTTTAACTGGTAATGAGAAGAGCCTTCATCATATTCATTCTAATTATTCAATTTGAATCACATATTCAAGTAAAGGCAACAAGTGGATTTTTTTTTCATATTTCTTCATGTGTGGCTTCATAGTGATTCTGGTGCTACCTACTGAAATATTTCTATATGCTGCAAACTTCAAATTTTCTACCTTAGTATTGCCTTTTATTCCCCTGCCGATGTTATGGTACATTTAATAATCCCAAAATAGTTTTCCATCATCTCAGTTACTCAGCATCAACCATATCATACAACCTTGGACCCACCACCAGCGGTCAAGTGAGGATTTCTTCTCCTTCAAATTATTTGTCTTTTTTCCTACAACCTTAATCGATGAGTTATAATCACTGCATGACCCTGTGCTAAATGACTGTATTGTCCTATTTCCTTTCAGGAACGTTGGCTTTGGACTTATCAAAGGCTGGGATAATTGGCACAGATCTGATAGAGTAATTTAGGCAAGGTAGATGCAGGAGCTAGAGTATTAACTCTTAACTCTTGTTAATGTGCTTTCAAACCCTCTGTAGGTATCCTGTCAGTTTCCTCCTCTATTCTGGCTCTCTGCCTTTTTACTGTAAAGAATCACTTAAATTATTCTACATCATTCAAAGGTGTAAATACACAATTTTTCATAAATTCCACTTTTGGGGGTCATCCCTTGCATATTCCCTTCTCTTACTGATAGAATCATGTAGGGAACCCATACCTGAGGGATTCTCCCTAATCACAGTGTTTGTTATAGTTTGGGGTAGAGACATGTTATTCAGGGAATCTCAAAACAAATCATCATAAAACCAATCAGGGTTGCCACTGCCCTCCATATTTTTAATACTTGCAGAGAGGTAATTCATTTCACTGTTAACAAAATGAGTATACAGTTTTTCCTCTCAGTATAAACTTAATGTGTTTCAGACTTTCCACACTCCAGAAGGAGCGCTGATATTTAATCTGAGTCCTCCATGGATCAAATACTGAACATTGCAACAAGCTGTTGATATGTAGTCATACCAAACAACTCTCTCCATTAAGCAGTTTTTAAAATCAATAGTCCCATGATTGTTCAGTCTGAGAATCTAAGAAAGCACAGATTCCTAAGTACTATTCAAAATTATAACCAAGCTTAATATATCCATGATGGCCTTTGGTTTTCATGCAGATGAATCTGATAAGGCCAGGTGGAAGCACACAGGCTATTGAGAGACCCAAAGACTTAGATGGAGAAGGTTCCACTTGGCTCCTAATCTTAGGACTTAACCACCATTTAGCTAGGCACATGAAGGGAAACGAAAGAGAATAATAGAGAAAGAGGGATGCTAGGCTTTCCTGGGAAACAGGATTGGTTTAATATAGCTGCCAGTTACATGCAAGTGAATTAGTGGAAAAGAGAAGAGGCAATTGGTGTGCATAAGAAATGTTAATGTACAGTGGCCCCGCTTTCAATAAACGCAGTTTAACCAATTTCTCAAGTTCTCCTCTTGGGGAAAAATAGGGTCAGAAGTGGGCCAACAGGCAGCTTGGAGACAAGGAGAAGAGAGTTTCTCTCTGCACTGCCTATACTCTGTATAGCAGCTGGAAAAGGCAAAAGGATTACATAAAGAACTACCTCACTTTCTACTTTATGGAAAGCCATATAATGATGGAGAGACTCCTGAAATGGAAGAGTTAGTTTTCAATGTCTTCACTTGCAAAATTGGTTGTGCACTTTGCTTTTCTGAATCTTTTAATTTACAATTTAAACATTCAATAAGATGATTTCTAAGGTCCCTTTCAAGATGTAAGATTCTATGAGTTTACTGTAACAGTATATATCCAGACTTCATTACCAAGTTCATTGTTGGTTGTCTCTATGGGTCTAGAATAATAACGTATGCACCCTGCCAATATCTGGTGTTCCATAATTAATTCATTTTTAAAATGCTGATAGATATGTGGGAAAGCATGTATTGCTTGCTTCACTTTGTGTTAACAAGGAGATGGAGGAAATATACATACACACACTTGTATAGATATTTCTGTAAGTATAAAGAAGAAACAAATATTGCTTCTGAGCAAGAGGACTGATGGCCCAGGAGTCGTGGCTGGATGGGGAGAGAGAATTTTCAATGTCAGGTGTCCTCTGTATTTACATTCTACTCTCACCTTTTCTCCTTCTCCTCCAGCCACACTGGCCTTTTTGCTGTACCTCCAACATTTCTAATGTGCTCCCAATTCAAGGACTTTGCAAACTTGTCATTTTCATGCCTGGTACACTCTTCCTTAAGATACTATCATGGAGCACTCTTTTACTCTATTCAGTAAGGCTCAAATGTCACCTTATTACTGAGACTCCCTCCACCACATTGTGTGTAATGACTTCCCACACACTCCCTACTACCCCTTACCTAATACCCTCTATAATACCCCTAATACTTAGCAACACATGGTATACTAAATATTTGCCTGTTTGTCTAGTGACTCGCTTTTAGACCACTGCCTGGTGCATAATACTTGTTGAACTAATGAATGTACTGCTCGAGGTCTTAAAAATTATGTACAAATTTCAATAGAAACAACCAGTTAAGGAATGCATAAATGTTTGATGAGCTGTTAGATGTTTATTATAAAAGGATACAGTTCAAACTTATTTTCTCAGCACACAGGGTTCTCCGTATCCGCCACGTATTGGCCACGGGCACGTCAATTAAGCTAAGTTTCTTGTCTTCATGCATAAGATGGGAATACTATCACTTCACGGAATTCGATTTAGGTGAAAGCGCTTTCCTAACCTTGGTGTTATAAAAGTTACCAAAAGCACCCGGTGTTTCGTGTGCTTCGAGCCTAGGAGTAGCAAATGGTGTCAACTGCACAAACGTCTTGAAGTTCAAGGAGAGAAAAGTCTCCCGGACCGCGCGGGGCGATACCCCAGTGGCGCTGGGCGTGGCTCCTGGCCGCCGTTGCCAAGGGAACCGTCTGGGCGTCCCTAGAATCCGAGCCCGGGCGCCCGGCTACCAGCCCGACCTCCTTTCAGCGTTTGCAATAGGTGCAGCGCGGGCCAATCGGAAGAAGCCGGAGGGGTAGGGGCGTGGCTAGGGGGCGGGGGGCGGGCCGGGCAGTGTCCCGGGGAAGGCGGTCCGGAGGCCTCGCGCCCTGACTTCCGGGTCGCGGTGCTTGCAGGGAGAGCTCCGCGGGTATCGTCGTTTCCGTTGCCGGCTGTTTGCAGTTCGGGGAAACCGAGGCAGCTCCTGCTTTCCCCCTAGTTCTTCCGCTCCTGTGAG